AGGGGACCCTGAGGGGTGGACTGTTTTTATCCCCAACATAATCCAGGCTTACCATGGCCAGTAATGAAAATATATCCCCACTGTTAGGGGCAATGAGGCTTGCCCCTATATCAAATAGCCCCAACGAAGTAAACCCACCCAATTCCCCGACCCCAGGCTCTCCTTTGACCACGGCTCCGAACACTGCAATAACTACCCCTTCACCAATGCCTACTAGTACAGTAGCCAACAATCAACCCTCAAGGAACATTTCCACTCTCCCAGCATGCCCAACTTCAACACCTCTACCCCCACAACCTCCAACATCAACCACCCCATCCTCCCTTATTAATACCTTACAGCCTTATAGCCCACCTCTCCATAACACTACCTCCCTCAACACTACACTACTGAGGTAGCAACTCTCAGATTCAAACTTGGACTCACACTGCGTGAAGCCAGACAGGAAGCACGTCGACGTGGATTCTCTCTTACTCCTTACTCCAGTAATACTGCTCATTCTGACACTTCTCCTAAACCCACCCCTCCTACATCTAACTTCTACCTCCTACCTTCCCCAGTCAAACTCTTTTGCCATCCTAAATCCAGAAACTCCAATCTTTACTACAGATACTCTAATCACCACTACAACCCCAACACCTTCCCCTCTCCTTCCTCGCACTCCCCGTAACAGACAGAACAAACGTTCCACCCCCTCTTCCCCTACCACACAATCACCTCCACCATACTTTGCCCCTACTCTTGAGACACCAGTCCTCTCTTCCCCCCCTCACAAGAAATCCTTTATCCCCCACAACTCCCCAACCAACTCCTCAGAAGAAACTATTGAAAATATTCAAGATTACTTAATGCAAACTGACACTCAACCTACAACCCCTGCTCCTTCCACACTCCAAGTAACTGCTGATATCCACCCCCCTCCTAACGATATCCCCCCTACACCCTATCCTCCTACCCCCTCCCAACACAGCCCATCCCCCCGACCCCGACCCCAACCCCGCCCACATTAACCCTCCCACCATCCCCTCTATCCCTTCCACTCCCTCCTGGATACACACGTGAATCCCTTATGTCACAAGTATCCCCTTCCTCAGACCCTCCATCTCCTAATACCCCTCCTGATAGAACACCAACTCCCACATCTCTCCCATCTCAAACCTCTCAGTCCTTATCCCACCCTCTAGCTGCTTCCCCCTCAAAGTCTCCAACACGTACTGCAATCTATATCACTAAATCAACGAAAGTATAACTATCCTTCATTGGAATATTCGCGGTTTCCGCTCCCACAGACCTGACCTTCGTCATATCCTTTCCTCTTATAACCCATCTATTGTATGCCTTCAAGAAACCTTTCTTACACATCCTCCAATACCAATCCCCAATTATCATTTTGTCTCTTCCCCACATTCCCTTTATGTCTCGTCCATACTTATCAATCAGAAAACACCTTATGTCACACCACCCTTTCAAACCAATGTCCCTTGCACAGTTATTCGTATCTTCCTTCACCGTTGGATCACAGTGATTTCAGTCTACTTCTCCCCTTCCCACCCCATTGACTTTGTTGCTTTTGAAAATCTAATTTCCCAACTTCAACCACCTTTCCTCATAGTGGGCGACTTTAACTGCCGCCACACTCTTTGGGGTGATTCTATTACCAACTCCCGAGGCCGATCTCTAGAGCGCTTCCTCTCCACAGCTGACCTTACTATTCTAAATTCAGATCGCCCCACACACTTTGATACACGCACGCAATCTTTTTCATGCATTGACCTCCCTCTATGCTCCCCTTCTCTTCATATAGATTTCCACTGGTCAGTCTTAGACCACTTTCCCTATAGTGACCACTTTCCAGTTCTCCTTTCTCCTACTTCATACGTACCACTTCCTATCTCCCCACGCTGGTGCTTTGATAGAGCCGACTGGCATACTTTCACTTCACTCTCTGATATTCATACCCCTCCATCCTCCCTCACCTCCATTTCAGAAATGATACAATGTTTCACAACTACAGTCTTAAGAGCTACACATACAGCTATCCCTCGAACCTCAAGACCATATACCTCTAAATGTGTTCCATGGTGGAATTCTGATTGCACTAAAGCACTTCGCTTAAAACGTGCAGCCTGGAACAGTTACCGTTACAAGAGAGGTACTCCAAATCAACTATCAGCCCTTATCTCCTTTAAAAGAGCATCTGCCTGTCTTCGTCGTACAATCCGGAATAGTAAAACAAATAGCTGGCGAAATTATGTTTCATCAATTACATCCTCTATATCTATCTCAAATGTATGGCGACGAATCCATAAACTATCAGGCAAACATCCCCCTCATCCTGCCCCCGTCCTCCATATTCGAGATACCCTCATTTCTGATCCTCTCCAAGTCGCTAATGAACTGGGTGATTATTTCAGCCAGGTCAGTAGTGATTCTCACCTTTCTCCACACTTCTCTTCTATCAAGACCACCAGAGAACGTACCCCCATTACCTTCACCCCATCCTCCGCTGAGTCCTATAATGCTCCATTTTCTTCCTCTGAACTCATTACTGCCCTACAATCGTGCCGCAAAACTCATGAAGGCCCTGACGGTATTCACTACCGTATGCTCCGGCAACTCCCATCTTCCTCCTTATCCTTCCTATTAAAAATTTACAACCACATATGGACATCAGGAAATTTTTCTTCTAATTGGCGAGAAGCTCTTATCCTTCCCT